CCAAGGGCAGTGTCAAACCGGATCTGGTACATCCTGAAGATCCACTTCCAGAACTGGGAGCAGTTCTGGTCGATCCTGAGGATCCACCAAAAGCCACTTCCAGAACTTGATGATTATTAAGATTGAATGTTGATAAATTATCAGGATTCGATCTTGATAACTTCCCAACGATATTATTAAGATTCATCCGATAACGTTATTATTTGAATATAGTTAATATCCTGATAAAAAGTTGATAGCGTTATTAAGATTCCATCATAATAACGATATCGAACGATATTTTTAGTTTATTACGATATCTTGATAAAAAAAAATCGTGAGCACAGCTATAAGCGCTATCGCGTTTACAATAACACTCAATTCAAATAGAACCATCATTAGGTGGTGACACCCGAGTAAGATATACTTTACTTTTGTAACGACACTTACAATCACAACTCTCACATTGATCAAAACATCGGAGAATGAAACATAATATCTTTTAAGAGAAAGGAAAACGAAAAGAAAAACCTTAACATGGTTTCAGATTTCCATTCATTGAAAGCTTTCGTTCGATTGTGGGAAACCTTCAAAACTGAAAACAACACGACACACACATACACACAACGTGCCTACAATGATTAATTATAACATTTCAAATGGCATACATCGAGTAAACATGAAATGGGTTTGCATTCTCACAGCAGGAAAGGAGCAAAGATTTTGAGATATAAAAAAAAACAATTCAGTCTATTGTAGAACTTACATTGAAATAATAAACAAATTTCCTTTGAAGAGTCTTGAAATTTTACAGTGATTGTCTGTGCACTTTTGCCTTACTTGGAACTATTTACAATAGCTTTTCATTCATCGTTTAATAATAATCAACTTTGATGATGCGAGGCGAACCAAGTCGCAAAATCATTTGTTTTGAATAACAATAGAAAGAGTGGAGAGAAGGAGCGAAAAACAAAATTGGAATTGCTTTCAAGTGACTTGAGCGATGTGCATGCGCTGCATAAACTAGAATCCAGCATCCTTTGCAGCGACAGTGATTGATGAACGTTACAATAGCACCTTGCCTTAATACACGTACACACGCTCCCTTATAAAAAAGTACATGAGCATAACAGTATTAGCTGCTTTCTCGACTTCTCGACAATGTTTTTTGCCCCATGATCTTTCTCTTTCTCTCTCTCTACCGCTGTCCCTCGCTCTCTCTCTCTACTTTGCATCACACAACAACTCTTATTCACTCAAATTAAAATGATTATGAGTGCCAGGCCATTGATTTCATTATTTACCAGGCAAATAGTTTTAATGAGTTGAGATTGAATTTCAATTTAAACTTTGGTAATTGGTGTTGTATATGCTTTTACTTTGATTGCGAGGCGAAAACAAAAAAAAACCCTGGACCAAAACACATAATACACACTTTTTTTTCCCCTAAACCAACATAATGACACACATTTCTGTCGAAAGTTTTTCATTGTTATTCACATGCTGTATCATGTTCATCGTTACATTGCGTTTTAGAACGATAAACAAAAAGTGTTTATCGTGACGAAAGTTTGTCATTTATTTGTGTGCACAGCATCGACCAAAACAGAGAGAAAATAAAAACGGGACGAGAGGAAATTTTGTTTGGCAAATAATAGCGTTGAGGCCATAATGCTAACATGTCAACGGAATTCGTTTAATGTCGGGCGCAGAGCGAGCAAAAAACAATGTTGCACCATTTTTTTTCTTGCTCTGTTTGCATGAGCTTTTGTTTCTGATGCGTACAATTCGCTGGTCAATTTGTGTTTAACAAATTGTAAATGCAAATGAAACTGATGTTATGGCCTAGTGTTCCTTTTTCAGCACTACATGAAATGTAGAGCTACTAATCTGCTTTTTTTTCCTAGATACTTTTTGAGTGTTGAAACAAATTATGGTGAATTTGAATATTATGCTCATATTTTTTATTTAATTTAAAACAGTGGCAGTAACGACAAATAAGTGCATAATATCTCAAAGCGCCATTCAAATTTTTATTATCAAATGTTGTTTAAAAATTACATTGACTTTTCGTATAATATTTTCTGAGTCTTGAACAGAATTAAAGTGATTTTAGATTCTTTCAAGGCTTCGTGATAGTATACCTTAGCACGCCGTATATTTAATGCTCGGCATAATATGCCAGCATATCGCACACACACACAGGCTGCCGCACGCACTTCTCTCGTGCGTAAACGGTTGCATACACAGCACATTTTGTATGTGAGTTGGTTACGATGGCTGTGTCCGCAAGCATTCTCTAGCACAATAACAATGCATCTGATGATGCACGTACTTTCTTTTCTAGCGACGAAGCTGCGAATGTTGTTGAGCAGTTCCGACGAAAGAAATTGTTTTCCAACAACATTGTACGAAAATGTAATGAAACGCAGCAGTCTTGTAACACTGTTTTTATTACACCCACGCTAAAAGAAGGGACAAAAAAGGACACGAGCAAATGTACAATGCCACGTGGCATCGAAAATATTCGATTTTAATGACGCACTGATGAAAAGATAGTTGATATACGAAATGTTCACCAACTGTTGTTAACCGCACCTTATCATCGGAGGTGGAGGCCAAATAATTCATTGCCATTTGATTGATTATGAATACGAGCGATGGAAATGACAACGAAATGTACATCAAAGGCGCGCACTGAACCACAACCAACACACACTATGCCAATGCATTCATGAAATGTGTGCGGCTTATTAAAATTAAATGGAGCAATGAAAAAACGAGCGGGAAATGTGATTTGAGAGAAAAAAAGGAATCAATATAAAAAGACGATCGGAACGGAAAAATCAACATGGTGGTATATTCTTTGATAAAATATCTTTGGCCGTTTTGTCGGAACAACAACATTACACACATACACCACCCGCCAATATACACGCCAAACAAATCAAAAGAAATGCGAAAACAAAAGTTCGTTCCATCAAAATTCCGTAAATATCTCCCGCCTCAAAAAAAAGCTACCCACAAATTATTAATGTGCATGCGAGCGTGAATGTGTGCGGATGTGTTTTCAAAAGGATATAATGGGCTCATTTAGGATTCTCCATTCGATTGATTAAAATGCGATAAAATCGGCGTATTTAGTCGTAAACGTATTGTACGTGGTCACGCTATTTTCTATTTTTTGTTATTTTTATAAACTCAAACGTCATACGCAAGTTGTTCGAAAGTTGCGCACTGTCCCCGAAGGAGAAGCTAAGTTTGTACACAAAGCTTGGAGGTAACAGCCATCAAATATAAAGAATACCATGCACGTGATGTGCTTTCGCATTTTTGCCAAACACCATTGTGGCAACGGATGTATATGTATATATGGTGTATAGTAGCGAAAGAAATTTTAAAAGAACTTACCTTATGGTTTTTCGTTAGCCCGACCAATTGTGGCAGACAGATGACGAATGATAACACCCAAACACCGGCCACCAGCAATTTGGCGCGTTTTGTTGACATTATACTAGGGTAAGTAACGGGTCTCGTCACAGCAACGTATCTGTCTAATGATATGGCACACAAATTGAGAATCGATGCCGTACACATCCATACATCAACTGCCAGCCATATTGAGCACCACAAATCTCCAAAAATCCACACCTAAAATCGATGCACAACGAGAACGAAAAGAACAAGAGAGAGAGAGAGAGGGAAAAAAAACAGACAAAACGAATCGTTTTAAATATTAGCCACACACAAACAGAACGTACAACAATACAGAGATATCAAATCGAATCACATGAATACTAATATTTACAGTACTATCTTGTATAAACACAAACAAGAGCAATCAAAAGGCCTTTCTATACTATTCGAATATAGGCATGACGATGACGACGAGGTATCGTTCTTCGATATCTCAGTGACTTTGTACACCACTCAAACATTTTGAAAGTAATGAACAAGAACATACTCGACGAATGCCATGTATTTTCTACGGGTTCAATTAGGACACTAAATAAAATTGCTAAGAATTTCGTCTTAGTTTATACACTGCCTACGGGGAGCTCAAAGTAGTGGGAACAAACATACATTTTGGCCACCGATTGCCAGCATCCTCGAATAATAGAGACACCAAAAGCTCTTTTTTTCCTGATGATTGACGTTTAAAGATTGCCTTTTTGTGTATGATGTTGTCGGAATGCCTTTTATCATTCGGGGAATTTGGTGGTAGCATGCGTGCTCAATGCTCATATTTATTTGTCGGTTATTGTTCACAAAAAATTAGCATCGATTGAATGACTTGATTAGCTGAAAACATTTACTAGACGACTGAGTACTATCTCTTCATTTCTTCTATTTTTTCCCCGATTTTTCTCACACAATTTTTTCGCCAACTGGCATTAGTTATGATACATTTATACTCGAGCTCATCGCAATCCGAAAACTACCCGCATGAAAACTATGAAATGGACTCAGTTGTTGATGCAAGCTATTCCGCATCGTTTCCATCACTATAGTTGAAATTGGCTTATTTCAAATGAGTGTGTTGCATTACACGTTTTTCTTTGCACTTTTTTTTGTGTTCTGTCCCACATCACATTACATCGAAAGATCGTACAGAGTTTGGACAGTTACAAGCTAAATAACCCTTTATATCTCTTTTGCACTCTCATTCCACGAAAAGTGTGCTTGTTGAAGTTGAAAAACGCCAGAATTGAAATATTTCTTCGGGAAAGTATTTTTTTTCTTTTTTTCTCCGCCTCTCTCGTTTTGTAAAAAAAGTTTTTCATGCCATCGGTGATGGAAACGTTTTTTGCAGGAAACTTTCACTTCTATTATTCGGAATTGCCAGCCAAATGTGCTTCTGTTTCAGTGAAAACCTGTCAAAAACGTACATTATTCCACTGGATTTTTTTTTCTGTTATTATGCTGTTGTGGAAACAATTTGTTTTGGCATTGAATTTAAAGCAAAGTGAATTGATTTGCTTCATCTTCAGAAAGCAGAAAACCTGTCCGAACCATGTAAACAATGTCAGAGTTGAGTTGTATGGACATACGCGCGCTTATATCACGCTTAAAGGCACAATTCGTGTTCACCGGTTTTTGCGTCGTGTATGTTATGTGAATTCATTTCTGATTCGTGTCACTAATTCATCATTTTGTTAATAAAATGATTTCATCGTATAAATGTATGAACACTTGTTTAATTAAATTTCAGCATTGAAATAAACAAAATGGACAAACTGATTTACAACTTGAAGCGTTGTTCACCGAATATTACAATTTGCCAGCAATGCTCAGCAGCACCAGCACAGTGGAACTGCAAACTCACTCCGGTAGTCAGTTGTGCACGCACTGTGTTTTGAACTGGAAAATCAAATCCCATACCGAGAAATACAAGCATTTTCTCATCGTAGGAGACACATGGGCACATAAGAAGTCTTTGGAATGGCACAGAATGTTTGTTTGCTGCTGCTGCTGCTGCTGTTGTTGTTGCTTTTCATGCGAATAGTTTATCACCAGAATAGTACACCGATGCACATAAGAGCATGCTGTGAACAGTGTCGTCTATGCTCTATTGGGTGATAACACGTTTGTGCCTGTATCTGTGTCACCCTCTCTCTCACTCTCTCGCTGTGTGTGTGTGTGTGTGTATGGGTTATGTACACTGGTTATGAGTCTTTAATTTATTTCTATTTTCCACCAAATTCATACGAAAATTGAACATTTGATAAATGGCATGGGCATGACCGTGTTTGAGTTTATGTTCATGTTAATTATACAAATTCTAAGTTTCCTGTTTGTGCCTTAAAATGTGATATTCCATTTATTAAACCTAATTAAATCTACGCTAAATTGTTTTAATCTATTTAACACCATGATGCTACCAAAGTTCAATTTGACTTCAATTTACTGGCACATCTATGATGTGCTTTTTGCCTCTACCACATTGGCAACAGCGAGGAGAGGGCGAGCGAGCGAAAGACCAAGTTGGAGAAAAAGCAAGCAGTTGAGATTCCTGTGTAAGGTGTCATGCTGTCGCAATCTTGTGCACATTCTTTGCGTTTCCCGTCATTCTCGACTCTCGGTTCAACGAATTTACAAAGTTTTCATAATTATATGGATGAAAAATGGCGAATTTCGCTTTTGTCACGCTTTAAATAAATAAAAATGTATTTATAAACACGTGAAACGAGACTGTTCCATACCCTCCTTGCATCCATTTGAATTTTGATTTTTACGCATCACAAACCGAATCTTGAGCTTTATATCCGAATTTATTTCTGATTTGTTTTCGTTCTCTTCAAAATGGAAACAGAATTAATGCCATCAACCGCTTCCATAAATCTAAAATCGACACTCGAAATACGGACGACAAAAAAAACACAAGCTTTTTCTCATCTTCTTGCCCACTTCACAAGATTTAAAAGCAACTCGTAGATCTTGTAGACAAACTAAAGTAAATTTCTGTCATGCTATTTCGTGCTCGTCTGCAACACTGTGGTGACAGATTTCAAACCGAAACGCCAGAGCCAATGTTTTTTTCACACATTCCAACGGTCTAACATTTGATGTCCGCTGTTCATGCTAGGGGCAATTCACTATTAGCAAATGCTATTGCCATTCACAGAATAAGAGGCATTCGTGCCTGTTTCGCCATGTATTCGGAGTGCCGCTCCATAATGAATGTATCAACACATTTGCACAAGCATTGCGAATGGCTACGAATACTTGTATTCACTCAAACGTCAGTAGCGATTGAGCGCTAAAAACGCCATAAGCAATAAGCATAAATATATTGCCGGAACAACAAAAAGACAGCCAATGACATCTCTAAACCAACTCATTGAATCATCAAATTTTTCGGCAACTTTTTTCAATCGTGTGTGGCTTTAGTTGAATATAATCAACTTTACGGCAACACTAGCAGCTTCTCTGCACACACATCGTAGAAGAGAGTTAAAAAATCATAGTATTTTGGCAAATGCATCGAGTATCCATAGCAAAACATCAATAAGTTTTGGTTAACGCGTAGTAACGGCCCACAGAGAAGCTGTTAGAGTCGCCGTTAAGTTGATTTTATTCTAGTAAAGCCACACACGATTGAAAAAAGTTGCCGAAAAATTCAATGATTCAATGAGTTGGAATTGAGATGGCATTGACTGCTATGTGTCAAATGATTTACATTTGAAATGTATTGTGGCACTATCGCTATGGCAATGAGTTCTAAACGGGCGAAAAACTACCGGCAAATTTGGAAAAAATCCTAATAAGTGCTGGATTTGAATGCGAAACAGCTCTGTTATCCATTGATTCTAAAAGTATTAGCGATATAGAAGAATTTGTAAACGAATATAAATTTCATTTGAAAGATACGGCATACGTGTTCAAGTTCAAACCGGGACATCGAGCATTAATTTTGTCGATACCAAAAGTTTTAAATCGCTCCACCATAAATAAAAAAAACAAAACAAAAATCAGTGAAAACCAGTATTTTCATACGAAGCATTTTTGAGTTTTTCTAAATTTTCGTTCACAAATTCTTCAATGTTGTTGATAATTTCACGCTCAATTAACATTAGCGATGACTCTGTGTCAAACGCACTTATTTCCAGAATTATTTTGATATCAACTGGAATTGTATTATTGGAAAATTTCGCTAATTCAGAAAAAAGTTTTTGGAGGCCCTTGTTGTGGATTTATTGAATTAGTTTTAAGTTCTTTCAATGTACTCATTTCAATTGAACCCGTGAGCTTAAAAACAACGTATTGACTCTTCGCCGATGAATACGAAACGCAAAAAAATCGCCGAACAAAGTGAAACACCAATCTGTTATTGGATCAATATGAAGCATGAAATCGTTGGCTACTATTTTATTCACGTTGCGCTTTGTTTCGAAGCGCGGCAAGTGTTTCATTTTGTTCCAGTAACAGAACATTGTATCACTTTGTTCGGCGACGCGCTCAATGTACTGTTTTGGAAAAATATGCATGATTTGATACAGTTTTGAGTCCATTGGTATGATGATTCATTTTAACACAACACCCATTCTATTTCGCTCACACTTACGTGCACTTTAACGTTGCTGAAACATGTACGTTCTTGTTTCTTTACTGCGCACATCTTTTTAACAGTAAAGCAGACTACTTTGTTATACGGGTAAAAATTGCACGTAAGTGTGAGCGAAATAGAATGGGTGTTGTGCGTCCGTGTTTTGGCCATGTATAGATTTCACTATATAAACCAATGTATTCACAGCGGCGTGAACCCGCGTTCCGAGGATTTCATACAAACTTCCCATGTAGACGATCCGAAATTGGCAACAGTCGAAAAAAAAAGTTTAAATTTTTTTTCGATTTTCATATAGTATTTTTTTCTGCTCTATTGGTGTTATCGGCACATCGAAATTCGCGCTCCTTATCAGTTAATTTTCACTTCATAGACAAATCACGACCAAAACCACCATTAAAATGAATCATCATACCAATGGACTCAAAAGTGTATCAAACATTTTTGTTTCAATTAAAGTGAAACACAATTTCTATAGTCAGCCGATATTTCACGATTCACTTTCAAGCGAACAGAATTTATGTTGCACTCGCACAAAACTGTATCAAATCATGCATATTTTTTCAAAACAGTACATTGAGCGCGT